AAGTGTTCGCTAACATCCCTTCATAATTATCTCTACCTAACAAGTTTTTTTCACATCACTACATAAATAAATGTTATTTTCACCACTTCAGACTTTTCGCTACCTGAATAAATGCTTTTGACATCACTCTACACTTATTACTACCTGAATAAATGCTATTAACATCACTCCATATTTATTTCTACCTCAAACAGAGCAATTGACATGACTCCATACATTTGTTATCTGAATTAGTGATCTTAATATCACTACATATTTATTGTTACTTAAGTAAGTGCTTTCGACATCGCTTTTTATCTATCATTATTTTATATAGTGCTCTTGACATCAGTTGTCTTGATATCACTCCATACCTATCGCTATCTAAATAAGTGGTCTTCACATAACTCCATAATTATAACTACCCGAGTAAGAGCTTTTGACATCACTTCATATTTATCGTTATGTGAAATACTGATACTGAAATTACTCCATACTAAACGCTATCTGAATATGTGCTCTTGATATTTCTCCTTGACATCATTCCGTTTTTAATATTACCGGAGTAAATGCTTTTTATTTCACTCCGTACTTATTCCTATCTCAATAAGTATTTAGACATCACTTCTTACCTATCACTACCTGAAATAGTGCTTTTGACATCACTCCATGCTTATAGACAGAGCCGTTATATACAGAGAGTTTGGCCAACTCATTTAAAAAGCGCCATGTTTTTACCCTATTCTACACTTTCAGTACTCGAGGGCAGCTATAGACGGGCCCCCCAGTGGCACAGCGGTATGTCTGCGGACTTACAATACTAGAAACCGGGTTTCGATACCCGTGATGGGCAGAGCAGAGATAGCCCATTGTGCAGCTTTGTGCATAACTACAAACAAACCAGCTATAGACGGAACGATACTGCCTTATGATGATACAGAAGGAAAACATTGAAAACGATCCGTAAACAGTTCATATATGAAAGAATTCGATTTTTTCAGCTGAGTGAGCCAACTTTTTGGTGTGCAGTGGCGTAACAACAGGGAAGGGTGTGGATGAGGAGGGGGTTCAGATGCAGGGTACCGTCGTGCTTAATTTTGAACAGCTGACCAGAGGAAATGCAGCAAGAACGAAGCACCCTACCACTCACCACCCTAACCCATAACCCGCCTACAATTTAAAGTGCTTTCCACACCTGAAGATGTGTAGTCAACTATTCGAAAGTGCTCGAATTTATGAGTCTTTAAAACCTACTGGATACATTTAAGTTATAATTTCATTAAGCTACAAAAAGCGGTTTAATATTTAGCACAAACTTTCTTTTAACCTAAAATATCTAGTCTGACATCTCGACAGACTGTAGTATTTTTTTTTCTTATAAAAGCAATTTAAACAAATATTTTAAACTGAAATGTTTGTTTAGTAGAAAGCAAATAATTCATGATAGTTTGACACATTATCAGCATACAGATAACAACAAGAGTAAAAGAACATGCTTTTTCATTTCTTCACTTTTTTTTTTATTAACCGTCAGGTTATTTCTTCCTCCGTACAAGAAGAAAGGGGCCTCCCCGTTCACTCGAGTAAATAATGATGATATCGTTATTCTGGTCACGCTGAATCAGTGTCGGTGCCAGATTTACAGAATCAAATCGAATTCAAGGCCAAGGTTGTGTAATGGAATTTCCGTAGAAAGACCAACAACAATAACAAAAGAAAAAAAAGCAAACAAAAAGATGTTGGCCGTCCGTTCATTTCTATCTGAAACAAATGTTCTCCTGCTAACAGACTATGTTGTTATAGTGACTTAAACCACTCCCTCTTATTAATAAAACCTATATTGTTGTCATGGTTAGTAGCATATACGATCATTTAAGTCTAATTATTAATTAGTTAGTATTTTTCATCACTAGACACTAATTACTAAATAAACAAAAAATAACTAATTAATGATTAGACTTAGGTAATCCAAATAACAATGATTGATACCTGATCGCCCCAACTTATGGTTAGTTCCTAAAACCTATATTCTTCCAGTAGTAGAAAATATGTAGTTTTCATGCACTAAATCTTGTTCTAGTTGCAAAAGACTGCTTTTCTAGCTAAGAAACTGTATCATTTGGAAAAGGTTTAATATCCCCATATTAAACGAAGCAAATATATCAACCCAGAAACAGATTCAGCTTTTCAGAAATTCTGATTATAATAAAGTAAAAATATACGGATTTAAGAGAGTGATATATATACATTCTCTATATATATATATACATGTAATAAAACTACAACACCAGCTCTCTGGTGTTGTAGTCTTATTATTTGTATATATATAGAGAGAGAGAGCTGGTGTTGTAGTTTTAATATATGTATAAAAATATATACAGAGCTGGTGTTGTAGTTTTATTACATGTATATATATATATATAGAGCTGGTGTTGTAGTTTTATTATTTGTATATATATA